GACAAAAGTGAGATGTGTGAGACAAACATAATAGATGATCATATGGAGATTGATATTAAGAAGACTTTGGTTAAAAGAATTAGTGAGGATCAAATCGTTTTGTTTTCAAAACGACACATACAAGAACTTGTAAACGAAAGGACTTGCTTTCTAACGGGTGCACTTAAGCCAATTGTGCCAAGTTTTTCTTTTGAGTTTTTACAGGATGTTAAAATGCTTTTTGAAATGCAAGATCCAATGATTGCTTCTCAAATGAGCCAATATCGTTCACATGTGAAGTATGAGACAAGGGGGCTATATAAGAAGCAGCATTTCAACTTCACTTCCAAATACATCCATGAACAAAACTCCAAAGTAAAGGGGGATCCAAAAAGAGTACGATCATGGGATGCACATGACTTCAAATTTGCTTTACAAGGAGATCCTTTAGATTCGAGGACGAATCATTTCCAAGAGGGGGAGAATGATATGAATCTCCTACATATTCAAATGAAATACAAGTGAACGCAAGCTTCATTCAAGACAAAAGCATTAATTATCGATTTTAAGTTCATGCTACATTAAATGAGACTTTATTTAATCCTTCATGGTTACAAAACTCTTGGTTTGCTGATTTAATCTTTAATTTTCAGATTTATGGTGTATTTTTAGGTATTTTAAGTTTTAAGATTTATGGTCTAGACTTTTCATTTACATTTTAGGTTACAATTAGTTAATGGTTGCTTATGGCATTGATGGACTTAAGTGTTCCAACCCTTTACATGTCTATATGTTACTTTTAAGGACTCTTTTGAAGGCTATATATAGTCATGTATGTCAGTTTTGAAAAGATAGAATATAGATTTTAAGATGTAATGAAATGAGTCTTTGAGTCTTTCTTTTAGCCAAGAGCTAATGTATTTTGCAATCTAGTGATAGCTTGCATGTTTAGGATCATTCAAGTGAGACTTGTTGCTTGTGGAGTGATTCCGATCTCAAACAAGGAACAAGTTATCTTGCCTTGAGATATTTGATCATCAAGGTAATCCGGTTTTTACTTTCCTTGGGTTGATTCCTTAATCGGTTTCGGGGTTTTTGGGATTGTGTTCTATGGGCACTTGTTTGTTAGCAAGGTTCTTAGATCCAATTCTCAAAAGTTTCTTCACAAACCATGCCAGTCGAGATTCTGCTTGAGCCGAGCATAAAAGTTCAGGATGTGATGGATATCGGCGAATAGGAGTAACCCGAAGGGAACTGGATGGATCCACTGGTCAAGTATTTAAGAGACGGACCTTTACCTACCGAGAAGGTAGAAGCTTAGCAACTCCAACATCGAGCAGCCAGGTATGTGCTTAGAGATGGGAACCTATACAAAAGAAGCTACTCTCTACCGCTCCTGAAGTGCCTAGTTCCAAAGGAGGCTAATTATGCCATGAGAGAAATACACGAAGGCATATGCAGTAACCACTCAGAAGCACGATCTATGAGCCATAAAATTGTTCGTCAAGGGTATTATTGGCCAACCATGTTGAAAGATGCAACACAATTCACCAAGAGATGCGACAGATGTCAGCGGTTCGCAACAATACCTAGACAACCGTCTGAACTATTAATAAGCATAACGAGTCTTTGGCCTTTTGCCGAATGGATAATAGACCTCATCGATCCCCTTCCACAAGGAAAGGCCTAAATCAAATTCACAGTGGTAGCGGTAGATTACTTCACTAAATGGGTCGAAGCTTAGGTCTTAGCCACGATCACTGAGAAAAAGGTTACCTACTTTATCTAGAGGAGTATAATATGTCACTTTGAGGTGTCATACACTGTTATTAGTGATAATGGGAAGTAATTTGATAATGCTGCATTTTGAAGTTTTTGTATGGAACTGGGTATCAAGCACATTTATTCTTCACCAGCACACCCATGGGCTAATGGACAGGTTGAAGCAGTCAACAAAATCATCAAAAGACTCTGGAAACCAGATTAGAAGGACGTAAGGGGCTATGAGACGAAGAACTTCCCAGTGTACTTTGGGCTTATAGAACAACACCATGTACATCAACTGGTGAGACACCATTTTCATTATCATTTGGTTCTGAAGCAGTTGTACCAGTAGAAATCGGTATTCCTTCTCCGAGAGTAGTGCAATTCAATCTACCCGAAAACGATGAATCCATACAACTCAACCTTGATCTATTGGAAGAACATCGGGAAACGACATGGTTACGGACAGTGGAGTAAAATCAGATCGCACGATATTACAATTTGAAGGTTAAGGAGCGCAACTTCAAAGAAGTTGACCTGGTATTGAGAAAAGTCATGTCAAACAGCAAAGACCCGACCAGTGGAGTATTGGGACCAACATGGGAAGGCCCGTATAAAGTTACTAAGGTAGTTCGACTAGGCACCTATGCCTTAGAAGATCAACATGGCAAAGCCCTACCCCACTCGTGGCACGTTCAACATCTTAATATATATATTACGACTAGCTAAGTAGTAAATTCTTCTTTATTGACATGTGCATCATGTGATTCTCTCTTTTTTCCTTAATCCTTTCCTATTTAAGTAGATTAGGTTTTTCATGGTCCTTATTTACTGTATTCAGTCCTTTATTACTTGAGCGATTCTTTGAATAAAGGCCTTCGACATTCGAAATATAATTAGTCCCTCAGTACTTGAGCATTTATGTTTATTTTAAACCAAACTTTTCAAGTGGGGGCATGAGTATGTTAGTTAAAAGCTGGTCAAGAAACTCAAATTAGGACAGACCTAGAAATAAGCCGACAAGCTAAAAACCAATCAATGAAACTACTGAAATAGGCCCAGTTAAGTCAAAACATAAAGCAAGCAAGCGAAACCAATCAACGAAACCTAGGGTATAAAACCATTTGGCAAATGCCAAAAATGGTTAGAAACTCAAGGGTGTTGATTAAACTCAGGGTAAAAACCGACAGAGACCAAGAAGGTTAGAAACCCAAGGGTGGTACCGCTGACCCAACTAAATATTAGAGCCCAATACCAAAATCTAACGGTTAAAACTAACCGTATAGCAAAGCCCAAGAGACTTGACTACAGTCGATTATGACGGAAGTATGGGGACTAAGAAAACCAGCCCATAAAACGATAATCGACAACGACAAAAGGATATGACGGCTATTCCACGAAAAAAATCATCAATGGAGCAACCCAGAGACAAGTACCCTCAATATAGAAGTCTTAGCATGCTTCTTGTCTTCTATTTTGAGAGTGGTGGCTATTGTTATAAGAAGATAAAGCAAGATCAGGAGAACAAACAGAAAAGAAGAGTTGGGTCGAGGAATGAGTGGGCTCACAGGTAAGAAGGTCGAGACTCGGCCACCTTGGCCGGCCATAGCCGACCAGGCTTGGTGCCAGGACCATCTTGGCGCAGAAGAGTTCTCGACCTCTAAGGCTGAAAGCCCCGATGGTTCTCTCCCGACCCCCGTACAACTCAACTCGAGGTTACCTCGTCTCTACCCTAGATTTGACACTAGGCCCATTACGAGACGCATAAGCCCAGGAGTCTAGACCTCCTGGCACACTAGGATTCAGCTTTGCTAATTCCTAAAGGGATAAGGGTTCGACTTCTATAAATATAAAGGCAAACCAAACTCTAGAGGTACGTGAAAAATACCCTACTCTATTCACTCGACTACTTTGATACTAACTTGAGCGTCGGAGCCCATGTGGTAGGAGCCACATCGGTCTTAAGGTTGTTATGTTTTGCATGTCAGGTCCATCCCTTTCATATTTAGAAGATTGATGAAAATTTGGAGGAATCTCATGGAGCCAAATTTCTGCATCAACAAATCTTAAATTCTAAGGTAAATAAAATAAATGCAAAATATTTCCTTAAAAAAGGAAAACTTTCTTACCAACCAAATTCAAATATTCCTTAAATTTTAAATGTAAAACGAAATTAAAACTAAGGAAATTTAAAAGGAAATTCGTTCCTTAGTGGAGATGGAGTGAGCAGCAAGGTTGGCGCCAAGGGGGGCATGGCACGCATGCATGAGGGGCTGACGAGGTTGATCGGTGGCGCTGAGGGTGGCATGTGCATTGTATTGAGCGAGTATATATCTGGGCACGCGCAAGTGGCATGGGTTGGATCGCAGACGATAATGGGTGCGCAAGCGCAAGCGGCATG